CTTTTTCAAGTATTAAACATTTGAAAGAAGAAATAGCAATTATAGTGTATGTTTTTATATTTTTAAGCATTTAACTGCTACATGTTTAAATCTAAAGAAAAGTTTACTAGAAAAAAATCCACGCGGATCAGGCAGCGGACGGGACTCGAACTGTATTTGTGTTTTTTCTGACGGCTTTGCCTTAGGACTAATTTAGACACGACTAGATTCCAGACTTTGGCCTTCGAAGGACCAATCTTGTTTGGGAATCTTTTGCCTTATCTAAGATTATTTGTTATGGAAGATAAGATAAAGTGAGGCCAAAACTTTCATTTTACAACAGAAAATATTGTGATGTAGGGTTTTCTACAAGTTTTCCTGGTAATGTCATGTTGTTTATTTAAGACTTTCCACGCATTATGATAATGATCGCTATTTCTATTTTATGCAATATTCAAAATAATTGTGATATAATTTTACTCGTATAACTTCTTATAAATAAATAAATATTTCCAACACTCACACAATTAGCCTAGGCGTAGGCCTACAGTTTTCACTATCACTAGCCTTTGTTCTCCAGTCAGACTGGACTGGTGAACAAAGGGTTATACCGAATTTCATCAACCTTTGTTAGTTCTTCTAACAGCTTGTCAAGTCATTTGAAGGACTGTTAATAAATAATTATTTCCAACACTCACACAATAAGCCTATCCCCAAAGTAAGCACTTTAAGGCTTGTGTTATGGGATACTATGGTAACGAATAGAATACATATACTGTACATATATAAATATATTTATATATATAATTCTTCTGTGAGTGTGTATGTCACTGAACTTCTCTTAAACGACTGGACCGATTTTGATGAAATTTTTTGTGTGTTCAAGGGGATCTGAGAATGGTTTAGATTCACAATTTTGTCCGCTGGACAACCCCTTTTTTATTAGGGCGGTACGAAGTTCGCTGGGTCAGCTAGTATTTATATAGAAATACATATTTAAACATCCATGACTGGAGTAAAAATGCTCGGATTCATCACACGCACATTTGCCCCCATCAGGATTCGAACCCGGGACCTCTCGAGTCAGCGACACCATGAAACCCGGCGTCAAACCACTCGGCCACGGAGGTCGTCGAATGCTTTTAGTTAGCGCCAAGTGTCTTGACCTTTTGACCTTACCCCAGCCGTTTTGAGTTACTCGCTTTTTGTCTACTATTTTGGGACAAATCGATGGTCATTACATTAAAAGTAGAACCAATCGGTGTAGTTATTTTCGATGTTCATTCGGATTTATTAGTGAGCCGTTACTAAAAATGTTATCCTATTAACAGACGTTACTAATTATACTGATGAATTTCTATCTTCAACTGGAGTATTTTAAGCTCAAATTGTTTAGTATCACGTTTATTAGGTTGCGGTTTTGTATAGGTACAATAGTAGAGTATGTAGGAGAGTGTAGAGTTTCATACAAATATAATAGGTTTTTTTAGGTTATTTATTGAAAAACGATCTTTATGTCTATTCATATGCTTAAAAATAAAAATTACGGCCGCAGTGTAATGGTCAGTGCATCCGCCTGGATAGCGGAGGGTGCGGGCTCGAGTCCCGTGTGCTGTCTGTTTCTCGTGGAGTTTTTTCTAGTAAAATCTTCTTTAGATGTAACATCTAGCAGTTAAATTATTAAAAAAAAACGAGTGTGCTTATGACCACGCGACTGAAGTGAAACTTCTTTAGCTACATCTATACACATTCATGTATGTACATATATATATTTCATTTACACGCTATAAGAGAAAGGGAGAAAGAAAATGTGCGCGCGCACTGCTTTCTCTTGCTTATATCCCTCACTCAACTCTCGTTCGCCTTGCCCGAACACACTTTTCGTAACGAGTAACGCAAGTTTCATTTCAAAAAATTAAGTTCAAAAGTATTCGAGTAATGATATTATCAGCGCCGATGTTACAAGAAATCTTATTGAATTGTACCCAGGTGATAAAAACAGTGCCAACGTCCTTTGAATTGTGTATGCACAGTGCTGATATTTGATTCCGTTATCGCGATTCATGCAGACTAATGATTGCAGATGGAAAAGATCGTCGTAGGTCGAGTGATACAGGCGCAGGCGTTCTTTGTTTATTTGGTTATACTTGAAGCACTTTTTTTTATATAGATAGGTCCGACAAATGACTCCACCCCACCTGATGTTAAGTCACAGTGAAGTCCAGACGCGAAGATAGCTGATACAGCAGTTGCACCTGCCAAACCAGCCAACCTCACCCTGCCGGCCTGCATGTTGCTTCTTCGCGCCTCTTTTAAAGGTTCCCAGGTTGTAAGAGGGAGGGAACACGGGAGCGGGCAGAGCATTCTTGGTTACAATTAGGGCAGTAAGTTGTTAGGGTAAAAAGCTTTTTAGCGGCTATCTCAGTTTTATGACAGATCTTTTTCTGTGTATTTTTTTTTGTTTTAATATTGTTTTTCTTTTTTATTGTCATGTTTGCTCCCGTAAGGGTAAAGGGTTGTTATTACAATAGAGTTAAGACGATAAAATAATAAAATAAAAATTACCAGAGGATTCCTCCTTGATGCCGTCTCAAACTTAATCACGGGCATGCAGGTCCGTTAAATGTTTAGCAGACGATTCTTATATGAAAAACTACGTCAAAATGAACACCGATATAATACTAATTTCAAAGATGATGATGTTTTAGATAATTTAAATAACTTGGAAGCCATATTACGTCTGTCCATATTTTTTAAACTATTTTGTTATAATACCGTGGTGTACAAATTTTTATACATTTTTACGAATCAAATAAAAAAGAAATATAAAAATTATTACATACAATCAAAACAACAAATTATAGATACCAGAAATATTTGACATTTCAACGAGCAAAAATAAAAACACAATTGGCTGTGTATCAATAAATGAGTGAATGTTTTTTAAGCCATTCGCTTGATGGATGATTTAGTAATGGTCTGTTACATTATTAATACAGAATGCAAATTAATTTTAAAACCTTTTTAGTTTTAAATAACCATTGGCTAACTAACGATTTGACGAAGTTTGGTGAAATTGGACCGTAAGATACTTTTTGTAAAATATTTCAATTAAACAACCGTATGTACTCTGTTCACACGAGTTAGTGGAACAATTTCTTTACCTTACAAATGCTTGGAAAAGACATGGATGAAAAAAATTGTGTGTGTCAGCTCCGACGCACGACTGGAGTTTACTCCTTAAGTTCGATAGTCTAACCAGACGCAAAAACAGTTAATTTAACTTAAAAAAGATTGATACTGTATGAAAGGGTAAATTAACAAATTAATGAAAATAATATACATATATAAATATATATTTATTCATTTCATATACATTTATTATAACTAATCAACGAAATATTTTACATTAAACTTTTTACAATAGTCAATTTCAGATGTGCATAAATATATCATTAGGAATGTTGATAAATTATGTAATTATTATTATCAGACTATTATCATTTTTTTAAATATTAATTAAATCAACATTGTCTGCATTATTAATTACGGTGACAAGTGGTTTATGGTAACTAAAATAAGACACATGGACGTTCGTAGATACGTGGTTCACGAATCTTGAAAACAAACCGCATCAATGGTTGTAACATACCTCGTTGTCCCCATTGCTCTATCACAAACAATATCTAAATTCAGTTCAGATTTTAAAAATTTTATTAATGTCAATTCGCCATCTTTGTTTGTCAAAGTTGCGCGACATAGGATGCGCACCAAAAACGTAACGAAGTCATTCATCGATAGATTTTACTCCTCACATTTTTCTCATACCGGGCCCCTTATATATGCAAATCGATTCTTAAGGAGTTAACTCCAAAACTGCGTCACAGGACTTGGAGGGCTGTTATTGGCTGAAAGTAACTGCTATTATAATATAATACAATACAAAAGAAATCATACAAACAATACAAAGGCCTCAAACTAAGGGGCTTTTCTTTTTTTTTTTTGTTACCGCGCATACACCTGTACGTTAGTTGTTATCAAATTTCTAAATCAGTATTGCCACGTTATATACAGAATAGACGCACGCTTATTGATCGAATTCTCATTGCGTCAAATGTTTATTTTATTTTAGTTTTTATCGCACCGCCACCTTATCTTTACTGGGGATCTGATGGATTTATAAATAGATTCATTGATATATAATCGAAACTATTAGGTTAAGGTGATAGGCGTTATCGATATTTTTGTATCTATTCTGAACTTGTTAAAAATATTGAGGTTAAAATGGACTAAGTGACTAAGGCTAAGGAGAAAATACTTTTCTGCTACTGATCTACACACATCTCTTTCAAATCTTTCATATTCGTCGATCTTTAGAACTATTCATAAGCTATTGCCACAAAATTTATTTGGTGAACGTTTTCCATCATCAACCTATTAATGTCCCCACTGCAGGAGCACAGGTCTTCCCTATGAATGGGAATAGGGAAACTGGGTCATGACCCACCATGCGGGTCCAGCGGATTGCTCATAAATACACAAATAATTAGTATTTTTTCTAGGAACTACATTACAACTGCACAAGAACTGCCAAATTTGATTACTTGCTTGAGTTAAAATTTGAGTTTATTCTACCGATACTGTGAGAACTGTGTAAGATCAATAAACGAACAGAAAAAAATACCAGAAAAGATCGGTATTAAAGATTCGGGAATCAGACAAGATTCGAACTCGCATATTTCGCTATCCGGCCGAATGTGCGTTACCGGCACTTCACTCGGATGTATAGCCGAGTAAATATATATAATAATATGTGTGTAAACTTGACATCAGTTTGCCCTTTTCATCTCTTATAAAGCATGATCAGGACAGACCGTTGTTAAGTTTACAAATAGCACAATACGAATGGCCAAGTGAAGTGAAGATTTTTTCGATTTGTTTGATGCAACGATGTTCTTAGAAAGCTTGTCTTACTCCGAAATCTTCGATTATATATTTATGATTGGTTTCCTCTCGTACAGTGCTCGGATGGCTGCGTCGCGAGGTGGCGCGCGGCTACTCGGTGGGTCAGTTCTGGTTCCTGGTGGGCGCGGAGTGGTGGGGCGCCTGGCTGGCGCACACGGCCGGCGCGGGCCACGCCTGCTGCCGCGCGCACAACAAGCATGCCGACGACATCGTCTGCGACGACAGCTACACCAGCACCTCCACCGGTATACAGTGTACAATGTACAGTACCCCTAGCACGCACCATTATCGAATTCGAATAGTTTGCAAACCAAAATGTCAATGTCAAATTTTGTATGGAAACTTAAACAGCAGCGGCACAAAGTACGTAACGAGAACTAAAAATCAGTACACATTTGAAAATGACATTTGGGACTCGCAAACGATACGAATTCGATATTGGTTCGTGCTAGGGGTACTGTACCCTTACAGCAAACCATTATCCAATTCCAATCATTTGCAAATACGAAATGTCAATGTCAATTATTTTTATGGAACCTTGAACAGCAGCGCCAGGTAAAATCTATTTAGTATGTAATAATGATGGTGTTACGTTATGTGTGTAACAGAGTCAATGGGGTCTCTCCTATGGCGTGCGGAGAGTGCATCACTGGGCAGCGCCAGCAGCAGCGGCGTCAGCAGTGCTGCAGCGCAGCGGCCCCCGCCCCACCCCGGGCCCATCGACAACAAGCGGCTGCGGGCACACACCCCGCTCAAGGTAACCCGCCCCACCCCGGGCCCATCGACAACAAGCGGCTGCGGGCACACACCCCGCTCAAGGTAACCCGCCCCACCCCGGGCCCATCGACAACAAGCGGCTGCGGGCACACACCCCGCTCAAGGTAACCCGCCCCACCCCGGGCCCATCGACAACAAGCGGCTGCGGGCACACACCCCGCTCAAGGTAACCCGCCCCACCCCGGGCCCATCGACAACAAGCGGCTGCGGGCACACACCCCGCTCAAGGTAACCCGCCCCACCCCGGGCCCATCGACAACAAGCGGCTGCGGGCACACACCCCGCTCAAGGTAACCCGCCCCACCCCGGGCCCATCGACAACAAGCGGCTGCGGGCACACACCCCGCTCAAGGTAACCCGCCCCACCCCGGGCCCATCGACAACAAGCGGCTGCGGGCACACACCCCGCTCAAGGTAACCCGCCCCACCCCGGGCCCATCGACAACAAGCGGCTGCGGGCACACACCCCGCTCAAGGTAACCCGCCCCACCCCGGGCCCATCGACAACAAGCGGCTGCGGGCACACACCCCGCTCAAGGTAACCCGCCCCACCCCGGGCCCATCGACAACAAGCGGCTGCGGGCACACACCCCGCTCAAGGTAACCCGCCCCACCCCGGGCCCATCGACAACAAGCGGCTGCGGGCACACACCCCGCTCAAGGTAACCCGCCCCACCCCGGGCCCATCGACAACAAGCGGCTGCGGGCACACACCCCGCTCAAGGTAACCCGCCCCACCCCGGGCCCATCGACAACAAGCGGCTGCGGGCACACACCCCGCTCAAGGTAACCCGCCCCACCCCGGGCCCATCGACAACAAGCGGCTGCGGGCACACACCCCGCTCAAGGTAACCCGCCCCACCCCGGGCCCATCGACAACAAGCGGCTGCGGGCACACACCCCGCTCAAGGTAACCCGCCCCACCCCGGGCCCATCGACAACAAGCGGCTGCGGGCACACACCCCGCTCAAGGTAACCCGCCCCACCCCGGGCCCATCGACAACAAGCGGCTGCGGGCACACACCCCGCTCAAGGTAACCCGCCCCACCCCGGGCCCATCGACAACAAGCGGCTGCGGGCACACACCCCGCTCAAGGTAACCCGCCCCACCCCGGGCCCATCGACAACAAGCGGCTGCGGGCACACACCCCGCTCAAGGTAACCCGCCCCACCCCGGGCCCATCGACAACAAGCGGCTGCGGGCACACACCCCGCTCAAGGTAACCCGCCCCACCCCGGGCCCATCGACAACAAGCGGCTGCGGGCACACACCCCGCTCAAGGTAACCCGCCCCACCCCGGGCCCATCGACAACAAGCGGCTGCGGGCACACACCCCGCTCAAGGTAACCCGCACATCTACATACTCGCCCCATCACAACGGCTAATCGAGCTCCTCAAATAAACGACCATTTTACCAACCACCAGCCGTCACCGGAGTCGAGTTCACCCATATTACCTGGAGACACTGAAGTCCAGAACAGCTGATCATTTTCGTAGATCTTTTATTTCACGGACAATAATTAGCACCCCTCTACGTTGTTCCTATTGTTGTCAACTATCGATCGGGCTAACAATAACCAACCGGACGTCCAGGGTATAGCGGGTTACGAGGTTGTCAAAAGCTACATATATCTGGGTTCCACTATCACCAACGATGGGGCTGCCTGGATGAAATTCGTAGACATTGTGCCATGACTAGATCATCAGTGGAAAAACTCACAAAGATTTGGAGAGACAGTAGTATTTTGTAAATGAGTTACGTTCCGATAACTTTATATTAAACTAGCTGACCCAGCGAACTTTGTACCGCCATAAAAATAGGGGCAGGTGGTAAAAGAGAAAATTTAGGGTTGTATGTATTTTTTAAAACCACATTATAAAAAAAAGTAAAAAAAAATTGCGCGAAGACGCATTGTAGGTTTCAGAACACTACGTTACAGGTGGACAATCATTATCACTAAAGGATATGAAAAATAGATAGTAGCTGATTCTCAGACCCACGGAATATGCATATAAAATTTCATAAAAATCGGTCAGGCCGTTTCCGAGGAATGTGGTAACTAACATTATAACAATTCCAGTCTTACCATTAATCGTATTGCATTTATCAATTTTAATTATTTAGTTAATTAATTGCACATGTACAATATAGGATCTCAAACAATTATTTTAGTATGGTACATGACCCTGTCAGGGTATTGCAAGCATAATATCTATATCAAGACAGCTATTAAACAAGTTAGTGAGCTTTCCGTGACGATTTCACTTATCATTCATAAATTCAATTACCGAAAAGTATGCTTTTTTGATAAGATGTTGTTTGAGTTTTATTTTAAATCTATTTATGTTGCTTTTTTTTAAATTTCTATCGGAATTTTATTTTATTTAAAACTGTGCTCCTACCTATCTATACTAATATTATAAAGCTGCAGAGTTTGTTTATTTGAACGCGCTAATCTCTAGAACTACTGTTCCGATTTGAATGATTCTTTCAATGTTGGGTAGTCCATTTATCGAGGAAGGCTATAGGCTATATTTTTCTTTCAAAATTAGGGATCCGTAATAAAATTGCTATTTTGTAACACAAAGGTGTAAAATCGAAAACCTATTTTTGCGTGCGCTGCAAAAACTATTGACAATAGAACAAAATGATGGTTGTAGATCCCATTAAGACCTACAAAAAAGTCCGCGAGAACATATTATCTATCTATCATGGTTTAATCACAATAACCGATTTTGTGTTCAAAATAATAATTTTGTGTTTAAAAAAAAAACTACATACGTTAAATATGTATCGTAATATTAAAAACACAAACAACCCTTAATTTTCATCCCTCTACCACCCATATTTTTATTGCGATACGAAGTTCGCTGGGTCAGCTAGTCTACAATAAAATAATAGTGAAACATAGTATTTGAAACATGTATCAGACACTCAGCGGTTTAACAAATGTCGCCAGGTGCGGAGTTTGACCGGTGAAGGCGGGCACTTGCGCCGCGATGTGACTTTGGCGCAACACCGGGACTTTGAACTAGTGCCAGACGCATTGTGGCGAGCATTGGCGCTTTGGTACGGCGGCCCCGATCCTTTGCCGAGACAGGTCAGTTTACATACATCCCCTTCACATTATCATCATCATCAGCCTATTAATGTAATATGTAGCCTATATGTTGACCCGACTTCTTAATAATATTCGTGCCAATTTTGAAGTAAATCCATGCAGTACTTTTTGAGCTTATCCCGGACATATCTACAGACAAACAGACAAAAATTCGAAAAAACTATATTTTTGGCTTCGGTATAGATTGTAGATCACAAGTGTTATTTTAAAAAATATTCAATGTACAGTTTTGACTTTCCTACCATTTTATTATATGTATAGATATTTTGAAGTTTTAAGTGTCTTGTAGAGAACATTGCTGCTACTATTTTTATACTCATCATCATCAGTCTATTAATGTCCCCTCTGCTGGGACACAGGCCTTCTCTATGGATGGAATAAAGGGGGTTGGGCCATAACCATCACGCAGGCCTAATGCGGATTGGCGGGTGCTAACGACTGTACATGCAGCCGGGACCAACGGCTTAGCGTGCCTTATGAAGCACGGAGGAACTCGAGATAGAAGATTTTTGGTCACCCATCCAATGACTGACCACTCCTAAAGTTGCTTTACCTCAACGATCGCAGCCGAAGCGTTAACCACCTGCGCTATCGAGCTCCACATTATATCTATAAGAAATAATGTATTTCCTTCGGGTATGTAACCTCAATTAAATGAAGAATGGATCTCTTTCATTTTATAGAAGCCTTATGCAAGTGTAGGTAGCGAAGCAAACAAACTACTTGAACAACACCACTGACACATAAAATTGCGCAGAACACTTTTTTGTGTGAAAAATTGCTACTACGCAGGCTTCCTTGTCTATGGTCGTTGATCAAGAAGTTTGCCGGCATGTTTAAGTATGTGCCTTCACATACTTCACAGGGCTATTCCTATTTGCTATTTTTAAACTAGACTGTAGTCTCTCCTTTCATTCTGTATAGAGCATGATAAGGATACACTAATGTCAAATCTACAAAAATAGCAAACAAGAACATCCTACAGTAAATTAAATTTCCATAGCTTTATTTGTTTGGTCGAGTTCAACGTAGATAACATTATTCACCCTTCCGCACCACTAAAATGTCTCCTTATGAAAAAATTCTAACAGATATGTACTAATTATATAATAAAAAAAAAAATGGATGCGTGTAACTTATGTACGCGCGTGAGAAGTTATACTTCTTTAGCATCATTAAAATATTTTTAATAAATAAAATATTACAAATAACGCGCCCGCGGCTAACTTCATTATGTTAAAATTTTGTGTTACAGTGATGAAAATTTCACTCTCATAATTTTTTCATAACGCGGCTAAAGAAGTATAACTTCAAAAAATATTGGTATTTTTTTGTTATAATTGTAGGTCATAAGGCCGCCAAACTCCGACGTTGAGTTGGAGTTGTATCCCCTGGAATTGAAGATCTTAAGGCACGTACCTAGCACGCAAAGTAAGTATCAAAACTTTATCGAGATAATATATATTATGTCATGAGAATGAAAATTCGCAATGACTTTTCTCGGAACTTGAATGTTTTATAATTTGCTGTTATGTTTGTTCGTTGCGATAGCAATAAATGTAATAAATTTTCTTTATTGTGGTTAGTATTAAATTTAATTGATGTAAATTTTATGTGCTGACGTTAATTTATAATATCCTTATTAATACTATATTATAAACTGCAAAAATATTCTCCTTGAGAGCTATAAAGGATAGAAAATAAAAACACAAATGTTCACCTTGAGTAACTACAGAAAATAGCGTTGTGTTTAATTATCACCAAACTAAATTTACAAATTTATTCAAAAACACCTTCAATAAAAAAGTTAATTTAGTTCTCCTCTAGCTCAACAGATGACGTTAGTAGTACACAAAACTTTAATTAGATACAATGTTTTTAAAGATTTGAACAAATAATTATTTATAGTTTCCTTTCCTAATTCCTATTACTAATCAAAGCACAGACTCAGAAATGCGTCGCCTACAAGAGGCCTTGTTACTGGTGCTATCTGAAATATATTTTGTTGGAATTTTCCCCAAATTACGTAGGTGAAACTGCGGGGCACAGTTAGTGAAACACAAAATGAAATCATCTGAGTGAGGTTGTTAATGTTGAGTGCAATTCTTTCATGGTGGTATAGAAATTAGCACAATTCGCGCTAACTGGAATGTAGGATGATGTAAGTGCGCGTGGGATGTGACTGAACTGAAACTTGTTTAAAGTTTCGTTCGTTGCTAACTTTACAACCGCCGTATTCTATTAATATTATAAATGCGAAAGTTTGTATGAACGTTTGTTATGCTTTCTCACTAAAATTGCTTAACGGAATGGGATGAAATTTGGCATATACCGAGTGTGAGGAAAACGCTCCGTCTCGAAACCGTCTTATAATCCTAACTAAAAAGTATAAAAAAAAACAGTATAAAAAAGTATAAGAAATAAAAAAACAGTTGGGACCCATTATTAAAAAAAATGATTCGTATTGAATATCTAATGGATATGAGATATTTATGAGTAGATCAAATCTCTTATCTATTAGACAAGTCCGTCCGTCCGTCCGTGGTGCTGTTTCAGCGGCCAAACCGTAAGAGATAGATATAGAGAATGTTTAAGTTATAAGTTAAGAATAGTCTGATAAGACTACAAACCGGATGTGAGTAACGTAGCACTTCCGGTTTTCGAGAAATCACGTGATTTCTATTTCAAACGAAACCACACAAAATCTCCGAAGTTCTCAATTAATTAAATACATTTTTTTTTTGGTGAACATTTGGTTCACTGATTTGCTAGTTTTTCAATAATGGGTCTCGACTGTAAAAGTAGCTTCGTTCCTTACTTAACAGAATTATAGACTACTGGTTTTGTTTTTTCTTTCCATTTTTTTATTTGAGTTAATATTTAAGCAGACGGGTTTTCTTGATTTTTAAATTAACCTTTTGTTTACTTTATGTTGTCACAAACAGTCGTTGAAATATAGATATATGTGGAGAAAGAGATACAGGTTTTAAGTATGCGTAAAAAAGATACAAAGTGCTTGAAATTATTACATTGGAGAACCTTATGGAATAATAAATGGTTCCTATTCTCAAAAAAAAATGGGTGCGTGTACTTATGTACGCGCATTAGAAGTTATACTTCTTTGGCATCATTAAAAATTAGTTTATTTGCATGAAAATAATTAATTACAATAAAATAATAAAAGGACTGGAAAAGGGTAGTCAACACAGTCAATTAAGTTCAGTTTTTATTTGATAAATTAAATAATCAAAATATTCAATTTAAATCACTACTGAATATAATTTATTAGCACATATATAATTCGCATTTGTATAAAAGTAAAACACGTGTGGTGAATATAGAAACTAGAAACATGGGGATAAATATTATAAATATGAAAACAGTGATCAGAGGCGACGAGCGTGCCAACATGCTCGTCTAATAGAGATTCTATTTTTGGTAGTTTTTTTTTTGAGACTTAATGTGCGGTTTAGCTGCCAACTTCATGGTGTTACTTCTGCGTTACAGTGAAGCGCGCGCATCTTAAAATTTCACTCTTATATTTTTTTCATAACGCGCTTAAAGAAGTATAACTACAAATACAAATTTAACACGGACGAAGTCTCGAGCTGGGGGCCATTCGCCTAACGGAAATGCTTTGGAAAACGCTAACGCTTTCGATTTTATTTTGTTATTTCTGACCACCGAAGGTTTTCAAATACCCCACGCTCATTTTTTAAATATTGTTATTACCAATGCAAAAGAAAAAAAAAAGAGCGCGAGGCATTTGAAAACCTCAGGCGGCTAGAAATAACAAAATGAAATCGTAAGCGTTAGCGTTTTCCAAAGCATTTCCGTCAGGCGAATGGCTCCTTGAAGGCGAGAAGTAGTCCATAAAGTTTGCACGCGTTCTGTTCGTGATTGAATTGTTATGATTTGTCGCAGCCGGGGGGGCCCCAGGCGTGGGCTTGGGCGTGGGCGGAGGCGTGGGGTCGCTGGGCGTGGGCGTGGGCGTGGGCGGGAGCTGCCCCGAGCGACAGCTGGCATACACCGCCGCCTTCTCCAGGCTCGCCACCGTCAAACAGGTATTGATATTTTGGAAACTGGTACTTCAGTACCTTTAGTCGGATCGGCATGATCAGTCATATATTCCAACAAGTATGACTAATGATAGATAGAGTTGTAGCATCGACGGGTGACGACATTGTCAATATGATTGCTGAACAATTTTCTTCGGTTTATAATGTCACTGATATGATCCCTTCAACATTGAACCAGATGTTCAGTAATTTCTTATCCACACTTAAATTCACCGAAAAGGATGTTTTGAAGGCTATTAAGTGTCTCAAGATACATAAACGTCCAGGTCCAGACAATATCCCACCTTTCTTTGTGAAACGTTGAGTATTCTAATCGTAATTTAACGTATTTCGTTAATCCGTATTCGACCTGCATTATAAGATATGGTTTACTTTCCTTATGCTATTTATATGTAAGTAAGTACTTTTACATTGGGATATTAAAAGGCTGATGATAATGATGACGTATGCAGGTGACGGAGTTCCTATGCAGCGCCTTAGGTCTTGCACGCGAAGACGTCCGTCTGTGGGCCCTCGGCACCAACACAGTGCTGCTGGACGACGAGCGACCCACGCTGCTGCAGCTGCGGCTGCACGAGCGGCCGCGGCTACTGCTGGAGCGGCGCAACCCCGACCTCACCTGGCCCGAGGAGATCGGCGCGCTCAGGTATTATACCGCGCCCCACGCTGCTGGAGCGGCGCAACCCCGACCTCACCTGGCCCGAGGAGATCGGCGCGCTCAGGTATTATACCGCGCCCCACGCTGCTGGAGCGGCGCAACCCCGACCTCACCTGGCCCGAGGAGATCGGCGCGCTCAGGTATTATACCGCGCCCCACGCTGCTGGAGCGGCGCAACCCCGACCTCACCTGGCCCGAGGAGATCGGCGCGCTCAGGTATTATACCGCGCCCCACGCTGCTGGAGCGGCGCAACCCCGACCTCACCTGGCCCGAGGAGATCGGCGCGCTCAGGTATTATACCGCGCCCCACGCTGCTGGACATGTCGCGCCTCACGCTGCTGCAGCTGCGGCCGCACTAATATCACAAAGAACTATTACATAGACGATGTCGTTAATTCCAATTTTAGCCACATTCATAAAGATTTTTGTCACACTATATATACATGTTCTCTACTATCGATAAAGTAAATATAATGTACCCATTTAACATTACACATTTTGTTAATATTGTTATTCTTTACATAAAAAATAGAAACTAAAAGCAACTTCTTCTTTCTTTATTAACATTTGGCTTTAACACAACCGAGTTTTTTGAGACCCTTGTTTACTACAAATTGTCATCTAATCTATCCAGCTCGAAGGACCACAAGGTGATATTCACCCCCACCAAGTGTTTTTGTGTAGTAAACTAATGGTAAGGTGTTTGATCGCAGTGGGTCTCGGGCCACAGAGCGGCGTGAGACATTGGTAGCGCCGCACCTGCCGGGCGCCACGGGGCTGCACAACCTCGGCAACACCTGCTTCATGAACGCCGCGCTGCAGGCGGTGCGTACATTATTTCATATTGTACGGGATGTGTGTCCGTCCGTCCGTCAGCTTTTCTCCGTCCACTGCTGGACGTAGGCCTCCCCCATAAGCCGCGTATCCACTAGAGGCAGCCTCAAATTCGTCGCCGCGAGCCGAGCCATATTTTGTCGGTTTCTGTGCCGTGCTCAAAGGCGCCTCAGTCCGAGCCGTGTGTTTAATGGAGACGGTCGCGCCCGTCGCCTGCATCGCAATGGAGAATGAGACCGCTATTAAGCTGATAAAATCATATGAAGGTCACCGTGTTCTCTGGGACCCATTAAATAAAAAACACTACGATAAAAATGTAAAGCAAGATGCGTGGAACGATATTAGTTTCAATATGGGGATTCCGGTGGACGTTATCAAAAAGAAGATTACTAGTCTCACAGGGTGAAAAATCACGTCACAAAAGCATCCTTACCACGGGATCAGCTACTCGACGCGCGTCTGGTGCCATCGCGTTTTGGCTTTTAACTGCGCAGTGCGCCGCCGGCGGATCAAGCTGAGGCGACACGCCTCGAGCTGATCCGTAGCCGTTGCCTCAGAGCGAGCAGCCTCAAACTGAGGCTATTTGCTTCAAGTCGAGGCCGCTCGACGCGAGGCTGCCTCTAGTGGATACGCGGCTATAGAACGCCATAATGCGCGGTCCTGCGCTATCCGCATCCAGCGGCTCCCAGCACATTTGACGATGTCGTCAGTCCACCTTGTTGGGGGCCGCCCCACGCTGCGTCGTCCGGTACGTGGTCGCCAGGATGTGTGTACGTACAAGAAAAGAAAAATTGATTTTACAGAGATACCGTTTATTGGCACACGAAACTTATTTGACCAATGAAATAGTGTATGGTGTTTATGAGTCGCGGTAGACACGTAGACTGATGCGTCACGTTCTAGATTCGACGCACCAAAGTAAAAATGCAATGCTGCAAAATAGGAAATGTGAAATAATTTTAATGATATTGTGCGGTTTATTGAACTGTACAGATATACTAGGATAGATATACTACCATACACTATGAAAACGTCACACAACTGTCATGTTTAATGTCTTATATGTCCTGTTAGGTGATTGTTAATAAAGAATATTGTTATTATAAAATTTACTTCTCCCTAAAAATAAGGGAAAATGATGATGTAACTATTCAAAATAGCGTCTAATTTGCTTACAGCCCTTAGGTGTTCGTGACCTTACGGTCACGAATTTAAGAATTCTTCTAGAAACCTTGAAAAGTCTATTTTCTTCCCCATTTTATTGTAGCTTTTTTGTTGTGAAATTAATTCAATATTAAATAAAGTATATATAGTAATAAACTGCAATTTGGGTAAATATCCATAAAAACAGATGGGTGTAAATTATCAACAAAATGCACTCTGTACACGTGGTAACCCTAAGGTTGCGGCTAATTGAGAGGGCAACCCTTGTTTTTTGAATTCCTCACATCATTTCCTTTCAGATGAAACAAATTTTATCAGAAAAACATGGATGGATGCAATTTTCATAAAAAAATGGAATGGCACTAAATTAATTTATAGGTGTTTGAGGTTATTTTTTTAAGGCAATCCATGATTAATGCAATGTATACTCACAAATGATTCCTTTGCATTAGGTAAAAATATGGATGGGTGCAGAATTTTGCAGCCGGATCTCGGGCTATGACTAAATTTTTTGACTAACACACATTGGTGTCGGATCTGGCATGGTTCCCTAAACTTAAATTTAACATTAGTGTCGCCTTTTCATCTAATAAATAACATTATATTGTCAAAGTGTTTGTAACAAAACTCCTCTGAAACGGATTGATCGATTCTTATGAAATTGTGTGCTTGTATTCAGTATGTCTGAGAATGGGACACAAATTTATTTTTCATACACCTAAGGAGATGCGCTGCCTTATGCGGAACGGACGTCGGCTTGCAGCGTCATATCATATCATAGAGAACGACCGCTTGACGCAGTGCTCTTAATAATATGAAAAAAATGTGAGCGGCCACAGGACGCCTGGCAGATGTGAAACACTAGCCGGTTTACGATAAATACACTCCGAGAATTGCTCGGGATGCGTGCGGTATAAAATGACATAGGTCCTTCGTCGAAGGCCCTGGCGCCGTACTGATCGACGAGTAGTTGTGCACTGGTATACAGGGTGGAAATTTTGAATGCCACCCCCAGGGGAAGTACTCTAAATACTGGAGATAGATAATTTTACTCAAAGGAAACATTCCTTTATTTTTAAAAAGAAATACAACTGCATTCACAGTTTTTCGAAAATTTGCTTGCCACACCCGAGAATCGAACTGGCAAAAATTCGAAAAAATGACAAATATGTGGCATCGATCGATAGATTATTTATTATGGTAAATTTTGATGCAGCAAACAAGACTTAAGACAATGCGTTCTAATTCGCTATTCCATTTTCAAAAATATGTAACATACCTCTTTGCATACCTTATTTAAATTACTAGTACCAAAGAGGTTGTACGGCGCCCCTCCTGACTGAACTTTTTAGTCTGCATTTTAGACATGTGCAAAAAATTCTTTATTCGTTATTTGAATGAATAAATGACGTCGAAGATAATCAAAAATACTAACTCGTGTAATCTGGTGGGATAAAACTGCTTTTAGTCTTGTTCCATTCAGTTAAGTTAAGATTTCACGCTTTTCCTTCCATTTAATGTACTAAGTTTGTTAGTAAGATATGATCCCTATGATTGACCCTATAGATCGATGCCATAAAAATACAGGGTGTAATCTTTTCGAATTTTCGTTAGTTCGATTCCCGGGTGTGGCAAGCAAATTTTCGAAAAACTGTGAATGCAGTTGTGTTTCTTTTTAAAAATAAAGGAATGTTTCCTGTGGGTAAAACTATCTATCTCCAGCATTTAGAGTACTTCCCCTGGGGGTGGCATTCAAAATTTCCACCCTGTATATTGCATTTTACGGGCGAACGTCGCCACGCCAGAACTTTCGGTTTTACGTAGGCCAAAAAATGTTTCACATCAAAAACGCGCAATATGAAAAAACAAACACTCGGAGCGGATGTCTACTCCGAGCTTCCGCTTAAGGCAGCGCACGCCTTTAGTAATAGGGATGGTCTACCTCAAAAGTTTTATTTAGTTGTTGAACATTTTTTTATTATTCCGCATGTAAAAATAACTCATAAAACTAAACCCTAAATTATCTCTCTTCTACCAACAATATGGTATTTTTTATGACGATATATGTACAGGTATGGAACACGGGTCCGTTAACGCAGTACTTCAACTCGGACATGCACCTGTACGAACTGAACACCGCCAACCCGCTGGGGACGCGTGGCGCATTAGCTTTACGCTTTGGGGAACTTTGCAAAGAGGTAAGGACAAATTGATTATTTATATCCTTTCAGCTTTGTCACAGTTTAAAGGCGCAGTAATGGCTGTTTAATTTTAAGAAATAGGAGACGAAAATATTATCTCACATTTGATGGAATGCAATGAAGTAATGTTAGAATAGAACGCATTTAGAATTTATGTAGTTGCAATTTGAATAGAACTAGTTTGAGACTGTATGTTATAGATTTACTGCTATTCACTTTAAGGAGTTAAATTCTGTTTTTATGATTGTGTTACGTTAACAAATCGGCAAATCTTTGTGTTATCGTACGTATAGTGTGGTCGGAACATAAGTGTTTATTATTGTTTCGTAGTTCCGATCGTAGTAGATTAAACCTTTACACAGACTGACGTTGTCACTTTTATTTACTAAAAAGAAGACAAAGGCAACATAAAGTTTAATAAAACTTTGGGTGAGACTTATTTCCGAAACAGTTGTTGATATGTTGTGCTTCGTTCGGCCAGGTGTGGTCCTGCAGCGCGCGTTCGGTAGCTCCGTTGCGCGTGCGCTGGGTGGTGTCGCGGTTCGCGCGCGCGCTGGGAGGGGGGGGGCAGCACGACGCGCAGGAACTGCTGGCCTGGCTGCTGGACGCGCTGCACGAGGAGCTCAACCGGGGACGACTCGCCTCACCCGCGCCCGAGCCCCCGCCCCGCCCCGACCAGGTATACGCGCGCTGCGGGAGGGGGGGGGCAGCACGACGCGCAGGAACTGCTGGCCTGGCTGCTGGACGCGCTGCACGAGGAGCTCAACCGGGGACGACTCGCCTCACCCGCGCCCGAGCCCCCGCCCCGCCCCGACCAGGTATACACGCGCTGCGGGAGGGGGGGGGCAGCACGACGCGCAGGAACTGCTGGCCTGGCTGCTGGACGCGCTGCACGAGGAGCTCAACCGGGGACGACTCGCCTCGCCCGCGCCCGAGCCCCCGCCCCGCCCCGACCAGGTATACGCGCGCTGCGGGAGGGGGGGGGGCAGCACGACGCGCAGGAACTGCTGGCCTGGCTGCTGGACGCGCTGCACGAGGAGCTCAACCGGGGACGACTCGCCTCACCCGCGCCCGAGCCCCCGCCCCGCCCCGACCAGGTATACACGCGCTGCGGGAGGGGGGGGGGCAGCACGACGCGCAGGAACTGCTGGCCTGGCTGCTGGACGCGCTGCACGAGGAGCTCAACCGGGGACGACTCGCCTCACCCGCGCCCGAGCCCCCGCCCCGCCCCGACCAGGTATACACGCGCTGCGGGAGGGGGGGGGGCAGCACGACGCGCAGGAACTGCTGGCCTGGCTGCTGGACGCGCTGCACGAGGAGCTCAACCGGGGACGACTCGCCTCACCCGCGCCCGAGCCCCCGCCCCGCCCCGACCAGGTATACACGCGCTGCGGGAGGGGGGGGGGCAGCACGACGCGCAGGAACTGCTGGCCTGGCTGCTGGACGCGCTGCACGAGGAGCTCAACCGGGGACGACTCGCCTCACCCGCGCCCGAGCCCCCGCCCCGCCCCGACCAGGTATACACGCGCTGCGGGAGGGGGGGGGCAGCACGACGCGCAGGAACTGCTGGCCTGGCTGCTGGACGCGCTGCACGAGGAGCTCAACCGGGGACGACTCGCCTCACCCGCGCCCGAGCCCCCGCCCCGCCCCGACCAGGTATACACGCGCTGCGGGAGGGGGGGGGCAGCACGACGCGCAGGAACTGCTGGCCTGGCTGCTGGACGCGCTGCACGAGGAGCTCAACCGGGGACGACTCGCCTCACCCGCGCCCGAGCCCCCGCCCCGCCCCGACCAGGTATACACGCGCTGCGGGAGGGGGGGGGCAGCACGACGCGCAGGAACTGCTGGCCTGGCTGCTGGACGCGCTGCACGAGGAGCTCAACCGGGGACGACTCGCCTCACCCGCGCCCGAGCCCCCGCCCCGCCCCGACCAGGTATACGCGCGCTGCGGGAGGGGGGGGGCAGCACGACGCGCAGGAACTGCTGGCCTGGCTGCTGGACGCGCTGCACGAGGAGCTCAACCGGGGACGACTCGCCTCACCCGCGCCCGAGCCCCCGCCCCGCCCCGACCAGGTATACGCGCGCTGCGGGAGGGGGGGGGGCAGCACGACGCGCAGGAACTGCTGGCCTGGCTGCTGGACGCGCTGCACGAGGAGCTCAACCGGGGACGACTCGCCTCACCCGCGCCCGAGCCCCCGCCCCGCCCCGACCAGGTATACACGCGCTGCGGGAGGGGGGGGGCAGCACGACGCGCAGGAACTGCTGGCCTGGCTGCTGGACGCGCTGCACGAGGAGCTCAACCGGGGACGACTCGCCTCACCCGCGCCCGAGCCCCCGCCCCGCCCCGACCAGGTATACACGCGCTGCGGGAGGGGGGGGGCAGCACGACGCGCAGGAACTGCTGGCCTGGCTGCTGGACGCGCTGCACGAGGAGCTCAACCGGGGACGACTCGCCTCACCCGCGCCCGAGCCCCCGCCCCGCCCCGACCAGGTATACGCGCGCTGCGGGAGGGGGGGGGGCAGCACGACGCGCAGGAACTGCTGGCCTGGCTGCTGGACGCGCTGCACGAGGAGCTCAACCGGGGACGACTCGCCTCACCCGCGCCCGAGCCCCCGCCCCGCCCCGACCAGGTATACGCGCGCTGCGGGAGGGGGGGGGCAGCACGACGCGCAGGAACTGCTGGCCTGGCTGCTGGACGCGCTGCACGAGGAGCTCAACCGGGGACGACTCGCCTCACCCGCGCCCGAGCCCCCGCCCCGCCCCGACCAGGTATACGCGCGCTGCGGGAGGGGGGGGGCAGCACGACGCGCAGGAACTGCTGGCCTGGCTGCTGGACGCGCTGCACGAGGAGCTCAACCGGGGACGACTCGCCTCACCCGCGCCCGAGCCCCCGCCCCGCCCCGACCAGGTATACACGCGCTGCGGGAGGGGGGGGGCAGCACGACGCGCAGGAACTGCTGGCCTGGCTGCTGGACGCGCTGCACGAGGAGCTCAACCGGGGACGACTCGCCTCACCCGCGCCCGAGCCCCCGCCCCGCCCCGACCAGGTATACGCGCGCTGCGGGAGGGGGGGGGCAGCACGACGCGCAGGAACTGCTGGCCTGGCTGCTGGACGCGCTGCACGAGGAGCTCAACCGGGGACGACTCGCCTCACCCGCGCCCGAGCCCCCGCCCCGCCCCGACCAGGTATACACGCGCTGCGGGAGGGGGGGGGCAGCACGACGCGCAGGAACTGCTGGCCTGGCTGCTGGACGCGCTGCACGAGGAGCTCAACCGGGGACGACTCGCCTCACCCGCGCCCGAGCCCCCGCCCCGCCCCGACCAGGTATACACGCGCTGCGGAGGAGCTCGACCGGGGCCGACTCGCCTCGGCCGTAAGTCTACAAATAATAAATCTTTGAAGTTAGCCAGTTCAATATTTATTGCACGTTGATGCAATGGAAAGTACACTGATTTAAATAATACCATACTTTAAAGTTAGTCTCGATCGTTTCAAACATTTCTGATCGGTGATCTAATGATACTGGTGTAAATTCTGGCATGACTCTCTAAGCTTGACAACAGTGTCACGGTAATAATATCATACAGTATTCTATCTTCATACAAACGGTCGGAAAGCGAGTCATACCTACGCCACTCGAGTTCGATGTGCTCTCGGCGTGCACCCAGTCGCGAATGCGCCGCCGCGCCGCAACGACGACCGAACGGTGTAGGCATTTATTTTCAAGGACAGGGCGGAGTCACAATATTGTATAGATAATATTACCGTGACAGTGTATCCTTGTGCTTCCCTACACAGAATAAGAAGGAGAGACTGTTCTCAAATTAAGTTTAGGCTTAAAGACTCATGCTAGAATTGACACCATTATTAATCTAAATTCATCATCACGTTTCTAAGTGGACTTATTTTCCTATAGGTGGCAGCGGCGCACGCATGGGAAGCATTCACGGCGCGCAACTTCTCAATTCTAACGGAATTGTTCTACGGACAGCTCAAGTCTCGTGTGCGATGCGACGCTTGCGGGCAACACTCTGTGCGCTTCGACACCTTCAACATGCTGTCGCTACCTCTACCTATGGAGAGCTACGTGCGCGTACAAATCCGAGGTAATGACTTACCCTCCACAACACTTTACCCAGTCAGCCCGCAGTTGTACACCTTCAAAAATGTAAATTTCACTTCCGAGTTTGAAAGCTCCAATTTTAAACATTAGATAAAAAATATACATTAAGCCATTACACCGCTAAATGTCACAATGACTGTTAAAGCAGCCACCATGAAGGTTAGAGAGAAAAATAACGATCGCTACGTACTAAAGCATTAGCCCGCCTGTCCCTGAAAATTTGTAGAATTTATAGTTAAATAAAACTAGTTTTTACGGGTTAATGCACGAAACTTTATTTATTTATTGACGTTTCGTGCATTAACCCGTAAAAACTAGTTTTATTTAATGAGTGATGTGCGTGAAAACCTAAGAAACAAATTTATAGTTAATTTTTCAGCCACCAGCCGCGCTGCCGTCGGTAAGTAGTATCTGTGAAGTTAGCTGTTTAGGAGTACAAGTAGATGAAGTTTGTTGAATATTGTACAAATTTTCTTCACGGCATTAGTCATTTCAAATTAGTCCGCTTTTATTGAGACAACTTAGCGATCGCAGCGCCTCATTTTGTCCATATTTCTGATACACTATTTTCTACAGCGATCGTTCTCCTTATCTCTAACCTCCATGGCAGCCACTCATAGATATTTGTCAATTGTCAAAGATCTGAATAAATGAGATTATAGCTTACAGAATCGACATGCAAAGAATCGTAACCCCTCTTTTACATCAAGAAACAAGTCATAGACTAGATTTTCACAAAACTTGTAGAATACTTGTTGTGACTGTGTAAAACATTATTTTGTTTACACTGCATAGAAAACTAGTATCTTTACAAATATAAATCACTAATTACTTCACATATTTTGTGTCGCCCCGCACACACACATATACACAAATATACATGACACTTATATACATCTATAAAACATGTAGTACACAATTATACTACATGTATACAAGTGTGAACAATAAATGAAGATATAGTATAAAATTTGGTACAATACATGTATTATACCTATACCAAGGTATAATTTATACCAATAAACGAGGGGTTATACTAGTATGTTTGTTTACAGTAATCTTATTGGACGGATCAGTGCCTGTGAAGTATGGTTTACGAGTTAATTCTGAAGGGACTTACCTGGAAATGAAACAGAAGTTATCAGAATTGTGTGGACTGGCGCCTGAATCGTGAGTTTGCTACGTAAATTTTGTACATATATTAGATGTTCGATAGAAAAGATTTTTGTTATTGCGGGTAGATTTTATTTTGATTGAATTAAGATTTATGAGCTATATAAATTTTATTAAATAACCCTAGATACACCACGAGCGCTCTAAATGTGTCTCAATCAAGAAGTTCTTGAGCACCACTCAAGCACTTTTTGGTTGAAAGTCACGGGAGGACATTTGGAAAGTCAGAGCTCCGTGAAAATTGCGAAAACAATACTTAAAGCACGTAGAGTATCTTTTTTCGACAAATCAATGTTTGGTAATTTAATGCACTTGAAGCAAATTTTGTTGTATTATTTACTATAAAGTGATTTAATAGAAAATATTTGTAATCAATTAAATGCATGGTCAGTTACATAGTTGTCTCTTTTCTTTGCGCTCCGTGCCTGCTACATTGCTAACAGCGCATTCAGAATTACGATATGAAGTCATAGAAATAAAGGCGATATATTCTTCCACCTATAGCGACAAGTCGTGAAATATTACGACTTAGATTTCAAACTTTCCTAAGTCTTTAACGTATGTGTTTAAATTCTTCTTCTTCCTAGCCGTGCACTCTTGACAGAGTGGTCGTGGTCACGTCTCGGTCGATTCTTGTGCCACTGATGCAATCGCGATGCGTCGCCATGCAGCTCGATGCTTTGCAGAGCGAGAACAATCATTTACGCTAGAGTGCGTCGCCGATTTAATAAGGTGTGTCCACCTTGTTGGAGAGCGCCCGCGAGATTTTTGCCCTCAACTTTCCCTTGCACCACCAACCGTTCCATGGAGTTCTCATTGCAAGTAATATGCCGAAGAATTTGAGGAATGTGTTTAAATTTAGACCACATAATTTGCATTAATGGTAACTTTGAATGTTTAAATGATGCCTATTGTTTTTTCCACGCGATCATCCTACGAAGCTCCGTGGATCACCTTGTACCTTTTGGACATGTTTCGGCCACGATTTTGTTCGTGATGTTGTATCTAGCGTTTTTAAATATCGTTGCCAATAAATTAAAGGATTATCCTCAAGACGAAAAGCTAATTAGTCTAACTAAAGAAAAAGGTTTCTTGTAAGGTAGTTTACATTATGATTGAAGTTAATGGATGCTATTAGCTTATTAATGTTCTTTGGTTTCGTTTAATATCCCTATTGCTGGGGTAGAGGCCTTCCCTATAGATGGAATAGGGGGATGGGGCTATGATGACCTATCATGCGGGCCTAGTACGGATTGGTGGGTGTTAACTACTTCAAATGCAGCCGGGACCAACGGCTTAGCGTCCCTTTTGAAGTACGGAGGAGCTCGAGAAAGAAATTTTTGTTCACCCATCCAATGACTAACCACTGCGAATGTTGCTTAACTCGAAGTACGGAGAATCTCGAGATAGTAAATTTTTGGTCACCCATCCAATGAGCAACCACTGCGAATGGTGCTTAACTTAAACGATCGCAGTCTAACGCGCTAACCATTTGCGCACGAAGACAAAAGTTTCTTGAAAAGTAATTTACCTTAAGAAGGCTGATTTACATTTCGGTAAGTATAGTAGTGAGTTTAGAAATCGGACAGTCAAGCAGTATGTATTTAACTGGCAAATCTCTGTCCAAACGATGATAAGAACTTGACTCGCCAAGACCCTAAATTAATTTGCTACTGTACTTAGCGAAGTGTAAATGAGCTTTTATTGTAAGTTATTAAATAAAACAAGTTTCAACGGTATAGATGCACGGATTTATTTGTTAATTTATTTATTTATTCAAGTTAAACATGCAGGCTTACAGAATAATCCAAAACGCTGGCAAGTCATACATAAAAAATATTAACAATCATAGAAGATATTCATTAAATTCAATAAAAAAAAGAGATAATCAAATAATAATACTAATAACAACAACAAAAAAATAGTAATGCCGAATAGATAGGTAATGTCAAATAGTACTTAATAGATACAAAGTCAAATCACCCATTGTAAAAGTATTATTAATTAATGTTATAATAAAAAAAAAATGTGTGCGTGTACTAGTGTACACACGTAAGAAGTGAAACTTCTTTATGGCCTTATTTTTTTCGAAAAATGATCTACATGCAACTTTCCAGAAATATATATATAGGCGTGCGCTAAGATTTTTCAAAGACTCACCCACTAAAGGGGTATAACTACACCTTACCTTACCTTACCTTACCTTACCTTACCTTACCTTACCTTACCTTACCTTACCTTACCTTACCTTACCTTACCTTACCTTGTGTGAAACACGAATATTTGCTGTCGATACTTTTTTTTTTAAAGTTGACAGAAGAAGGAATTTGTTCGGATGAGGTAAATAGTGCTCTTTTTAAAAAATGGGTGCGTGTACTTATGTAGGCGCGTGAGAAGTTATCCTTCTTTGGCATCGTTTAAAATTAGTTTTTAATTGCATGCAAATAATTAATTACAATAAATTAATAAAAAGTCTGGAAAAGGACGAAGTCAATAAAGTTCAGTTTTAATTTGAAAAAAAAAATAAATAATCAAAATATTCAATTAAAATCGCTACTGAATATAATTTATTAGAACATATGTGATTTGCACTTATATGAAACTCAAACACGTATTCCGAATATACAAACTAGAAACATATGGATAAATATTATAAATATGAATACCTATAACTGTTACTTTATTACAAAAAATAAAGATGTGGTTTTTGGTTCTACTACACCAATGGTCAAGAGATGGCGCTGTAGTCTCCTGAATCGCGCTTTGGATCCGTTGTTCCAGATTAATCAATACTTTTGATAGGCCTTCACAATGCAGTCGTTAGCACCCACTAAATAGAGATTCTATTTCTATTTTGTTGGTAGATTTTCTAAATGTGCGGTAAACACAAAAGTAACGCATGAAGTTGGTCGCTAAAGCGACCAACTTCATTATGTTAAAATTTTGTGTTACAGTGATGCGCACGCATCTTAAAATTTCACTCACATCATTTTTTCATAACGCGCCTAAAGAAGTATAACTTCAAAAAAAGATGGCGCGTAACCAAAAAACGTGACGCGTAACCGAAAAAATGTGACGGTAAATTTTTTTCCAACGCCGATAAAGAAGTTTCACTTCAATAGTTAATTATGTCAAATCAATAAAACAATTAATTTTGACGATTATGACGTTTCGCCTCTTTTTCAGGTTGCGTCGTCAGAATTATGATTTTATCGACTTTATCGAGCTACCTTACGAAGGTAGCTTGACGTGAAAACCTAAGAAACAAATATGAAAGTTACTAGTTTATTTATCTTTGGTGTCGTTTCGAGATTATTGTCTGTTGTGTTTCGGCTGAATGTAAACTGGTTTTATCAGTAGCTAACATGAGTATTGTGTCGCCGACAGCATGCTGATAGTGGAGTTATCCGGTGCTACCATCGGTCGGGTTGTAGAAGACGGGTCGCGAGTGCGGGCGGGGCTGGGTGTGGGGTCGGGGTCGCTGACCGCATACGAGCTGCCGCCGCCGCTGGCACTGCCGCACCACGCGCCCGCTAACGGTCAGTCATATATACGTGTGGGGTCGGGGTCGCTGACCGCATACGAGCTGCCGCCGCCGCTGGCACTGCCGCACCACGCGCCCGCTAACGGTCAGTCATATATACGTGTGGGGTCGGGGTCGCTGACCGCATACGAGCTGCCGCCGCCGCTGGCACTGCCGCACCACGCGCCCGCTAACGGTCAGTCATATATACGTGTGGGGTCGGGGTCGCTGACCGCATACGAGCTGCCGCCGCCGCTGGCACTGCCGCACCACGCGCCCGCTAACGGTCAGTCATATATACGTGTGGGGTCGGGGTCGCTGACCGCATACGAGCTGCCGCCGCCGCTGGCACTGCCGCACCACGCGCCCGCTAACGGTCAGTCATATATACGTGTGGGGTCGGGGTCGCTGACCGCATACGAGCTGCCGCCGCCGCTGGCACTGCCGCACCACGCGCCCGCTAACGGTCAGTCATATATACGTGTGGGGTCGGGGTCGCTGACCGCATACGAGCTGCCGCCGCCGCTGGCACTGCCGCACCACGCGCCCGCTAACGGTCAGTCATATATACGTGTGGGGTCGGGGTCGCTGACCGCATACGAGCTGCCGCCGCCGCTGGCACTGCCGCACCACGCGCCCGCTAACGGTCAGTCATATATACGTGTGGGGTCGGGGTCGCTGACCGCATACGAGCTGCCGCCGCCGCTGGCACTGCCGCACCACGCGCCCGCTAACGGTCAGTCATATATACGTGTGGGGTCGGGGTCGCTGACCGCATACGAGCTGCCGCCGCCGCTGGCACTGCCGCACCACGCGCCCGCTAACGGTCAGTCATATATACGTGTGGGGTCGGGGTCGCTGACCGCATACGAGCTGCCGCCGCCGCTGGCACTGCCGCACCACGCGCCCGCTAACGGTCAGTCATATATACGTGTGGGGTCGGGGTCGCTGACCGCATACGAGCTGCCGCCGCCGCTGGCACTGCCGCACCACGCGCCCGCTAACGGTCAGTCATATATACGTGTGGGGTCGGGGTCGCTGACCGCATACGAGCTGCCGCCGCCGCTGGCACTGCCGCACCACGCGCCCGCTAACGGTCAGTCATATATACGTGTGGGGTCGGGGTCGCTGACCGCATACGAGCTGCCGCCGCCGCTGGCACTGCCGCACCACGCGCCCGCTAACGGTCAGTCATATATACGTGTGGGGTCGGGGTCGCTGACCGCATACGAGCTGCCGCCGCCGCTGGCACTGCCGCACCACGCGCCCGCTAACGGTCAGTCATATATACGTGTGGGGTCGGGGTCGCTGACCGCATACGAGCTGCCGCCGCCGCTGGCACTGCCGCACCACGCGCCCGCTAACGGTCAGTCATATATACGTGTGGGGTCGGGGTCGCTGACCGCATACGAGCTGCCGCCGCCGCTGGCACTGCCGCACCACGCGCCCGCTAACGGTCAGTCATATATACGTGTGGGGTCGGGGTCGCTGACCGCATACGAGCTGCCGCCGCCGCTGGCACTGCCGCACCACGCGCCCGCTAACGGTCAGTCATATATACGTGTGGGGTCGGGGTCGCTGACCGCATACGAGCTGCCGCCGCCGCTGGCACTGCCGCACCACGCGCCCGCTAACGGTCAGTCATATATACGTGTGGGGTCGGGGTCGCTGACCGCATACGAGCTGCCGCCGCCGCTGGCACTGCCGCACCACGCGCCCGCTAACGGTCAGTCATATATACGTGTGGGGTCGGGGTCGCTGACCGCATACGAGCTGCCGCCGCCGCTGGCACTGCCGCACCACGCGCCCGCTAACGGTCAGTCATATATACGTGTGGGGTCGGGGTCGCTGACCGCATACGAGCTGCCGCCGCCGCTGGCACTGCCGCACCACGCGCCCGCTAACGGTCAGTCATATATACGTGTGGGGTCGGGGTCGCTGACCGCATACGAGCTGCCGCCGCCGCTGGCACTGCCGCACCACGCGCCCGCTAACGGTCAGTCATATATACGTGTGGGGTCGGGGTCGCTGACCGCATACGAGCTGCCGCCGCCGCTGGCACTGCCGCACCACGCGCCCGCTAACGGTCAGTCATATATACGTGTGGGGTCGGGGTCGCTGACCGCATACGAGCTGCCGCCGCCGCTGGCACTGCCGCACCACGCGCCCGCTAACGGTCAGTCATATATACGTGTGGGGTCGGGGTCGCTGACCGCATACGAGCTGCCGCCGCCGCTGGCACTGCCGCACCACGCGCCCGCTAACGGTCAGTCATATATACGTGTGGGGTCGGGGTCGCTGACCGCATACGAGCTGCCGCCGCCGCTGGCACTGCCGCACCACGCGCCCGCTAACGGTCAGTCATATATACGTGTGGGGTCGGGGTCGCTGACCGCATACGAGCTGCCGCCGCCGCTGGCACTGCCGCACCACGCGCCCGCTAACGGTCAGTCATATATACGTGTGGGGTCGGGGTCGCTGACCGCATACGAGCTGCCGCCGCCGCTGGCACTGCCGCACCACGCGCCCGCTAACGGTCAGTCATATATACGTGTGGGGTCGGGGTCGCTGACCGCATACGAGCTGCCGCCGCCGCTGGCACTGCCGCACCACGCGCCCGCTAACGGTCAGTCATATATACGTGTGGGGTCGGGGTCGCTGACCGCATACGAGCTGCCGCCGCCGCTGGCACTGCCGCACCACGCGCCCGCTAATAAAGGTCAGTCATATATATAATTTACAAAATTACAAATTATTAAAGTGAAATTTCTTTTCGGACGGGGTATAAATGGAAAAGATGAAAAGGATATGTGTTACGGGTATGAATTTATTATGGAATACGCCATAATAAAATGTTTACTGATTCTCAGCAATTAACATGTGTTTCATGTACATTTTAAGTTTAAATAAATTGTCTGGTTGAATGATGATTAGTGACGAATGTGGATGTTGACTAACTCGACGACACGACACGAGCTTCCACTATCAAACTTCGACGCGCTTTATCTTTGTAATTTTTTGGTTTATTGACATAAAAAAAAAACGAGCGGACTTACAGTAGTCGCGTATGATGTTTAACATTTGAAACCTCACCTTATATTAGTAAAAAAAGGAATAAAACCTACTACAAAAACAATAGGTAAGCCATTTGAACATTATGATCTTAAATCAAATCAAATAGCGTACGCGCTTTCGCGACTTCCTGTTACACACGTCCGTTTCATTTCACGAAATCACTCCCACAAATTGCAGGAAAGCGAGAGAAAAGATGTTACACATCAAAAACATTAATTATTTATAGTTAAATTGTAATCTAACTAATGGACTAAATAGAATTTCGGTTCATCTTTATTTTATCGTAATGTCGAACTAAATAAAACAAGTTTCAACGGGTTAGATGCACTAATTTTATTTATTAATTGATGTTTCGAAACCTCGGAATATTTCCTCATTAATTATCCAGACAACGCATTCTTGCAAAGGATGCGAATCGTCAATCTAATCTAATATATAAAATTCTCGTGTCGCGGTGTTTGTGGTTATACTCCTCCGAAACGGCTCGACCGATTTTCGTGAAATTTTATATGCATATTCAGTAGGTCTGAGAATCGGACAACATCTATTTTTCATCCCCCTAAATGTTAAAGGTAATCCACCCTATTTTTTTTTTGTACATAATTTTTTGTTTTTTTTTTTGATACATCATACAAAAATAGATACAACCTTAAATTTTCTCCCTTCTACCACCAACCCCTATTTTTTTATGGCGCACAGTGGTCCGGATTTTGAATATAGTGGTCTTAGGACCCAAGGTTAGTATTTCGCGCTGAAAAAATTCATGCGGACAGATAAGTGAATGCTTATCAACTTTTGTTCTAGCAGTTTTCATGTGATCCTATATTATCGCGAAAAAAAAATATTTGAGAAAAAAATGTATGGAGCAAAACTGAAATATTTTTTTTTCTCGAAATGTTATAAAGTGTTAGCAATGAAACCATTTGTAAATTATTGTATTACATTTATTTATTAATTTCACTAACAAATCTTTTGCATGCACTTGCAGCCTTGGCCGAAATAGGCATCAGAAGTTTCAATTTTTTAATTCTAACTATTTGTGTCATTTAAAGGTTTTTAATCATTTATAGTCACATAATTTTCATATATTTTCAATATTGTAAACTTTAAAATGCATATTTCCTAAATTAAAATGATTTAGAAAAATAGATACAAATTATTTTCATATTTTACTTCTTAGTGGTTTTCGCTGTTACCCAAAGCGCAGTTACTGAACGTATGACGTATTGGCTGCTAATTTCCCCATCCCATTGCCTAATATTGCTATCTCTTTCATTTTCTACTAATGCTATCTATTTCTCTATTGCTCTCTTTTTCTCGTTAAGACCCTTGCTAGTTGCGTGCTTGTAAATCAAATAAAACAGATGGGAGGTTCGGCTGGAGCGTCAATAGACATTCAAATCTTGAAGAATCAACATACCTGGAAATTTTAATCTGAAGAAAACTACCTCCTTAATCATGGCTGGATTTGGTACTTACCTGGACATTTTCGTGTTTCTACGAAAAGGGGACCTCAAGGACTACAAACGACTGCATCAAGCAATTTTGGACTGCATTTTGCTTGAAATTTCGCAAGAAGATTCTGAAAAATTTTTGTATTTTGCAAGATCCCTCACTGTCAACTTAAATCCAAGATGGACCGAAGCACACAGGGTCCAAAAAACATTCATTATAAAGCATATGAGCTAGTTAGAAACAAGAATTAAGTGGCCTGAATGCGAATCCGTGAATCTCTCCGAAATTTTTGAAGAGGCCGAAAAATTCGATCATCGTTCCATTGAAGAAGCATCGAAGGCGACTATTGATATGAGCACTTCTACAAACATCGTATCAAGAAAGCCATTTGAAGACCTAGGTAACAAGCAGAAGAAAAGGCGATCGCGTACATTACTTGACTATCCGGAAGAGGAACTGACTTTTGCTTTTATCACCAAACTAAAGTCTAATGGAAAAGAAGTTCTTGCTCGCATCATCGATCATCTTATGAAGAAGCCTGAAAAGGTTGGAGTTGTCGAATCATTTTTATTTATGAACGAAAAAAAGGAGACTATGCAGCAAGATCGAGTTTTGGCCCTAACTACTTCATTGGATCTTTCAAAGTGGAAGTACCTCACTTTACGGTTAGCATTGTCACAACAGTTAAAGCTTCCGTCTTACCACAAGTTGTTAGAAGCTAAGAAAAGGTGTTATCCAGATGCCAGAGATATAATAATATCAGAAGATGGAGCGAAGGTGAAACTACAAGCACTTTTAGATGTCACAACTCGAAGGATTTTGCAAGTCGTTGGTGATAATTTAAATATTTCCAGTGGAAGCATGAAGCTGACCAGCAAATGGGGATTTGATGGTTCTTCAACACAGAGCAACTACAAGCAAAGAAGTGAAATGGCAGAATTCGACGACTCCTCTGTGTTTATGACCAGCCTCGCTCCCCTGAAGCTAGAGGCCGAAAATATTGTTATTTGGGATAATCCAAAGCCATCTTCAACGTTTTATAGCAGACCTATTAAATTTCAGTTTGCGAAGGAAACAACTGACTTTGTTAAGCAAGAACAAGCGGAAATGGAGGAAGAAATACAAAATTTGACTGTTTCAAGTTGCGGAAACTTAAAAGTTACTCATGAGCTACACATGACAATGATTGATGGGAAAAGGACGACAATAATTACAAATACTCCCTCTGCAATATTTGTCTTGCAAAACCAAGCGAGATGAATAATCTTTCTCAAATGTTTGCAAGACCTGTGCGGGAAGATGTATATCAATATGGATTGTCAACACTCCATATGTGGATTCGAAGCATGGAGTGTCTTTTACACATTTCGTATATATTTAGATTTTGAAATGTGGAGTGCAAGAGGCGAAAACAAGAACCTTAAGAAGTTTCGAAAGAACATGGTGCAATCGGAGTTCAAACAACAGATGGGACTTTTGATTGATCTTGTGAAGCAGGGCTTTGGAACTACAATTTTTTTTTTGCCAGAAGATTTTTCCGAGAATACGAGAAGACAGCTCAATCAAGACAGTCAATATCGATCGATTTCGTCGATACTGCAAGGAGACTGCTGAACTCTTTGTACATCACTACCTACAACATGCCTTCCAGCGTACACAAAATGCTGATACATGGCGCAGACATATGCAAACATTTCTCTTGTCTTCCTATAGGAATTTTGTCAGAAGAAGCAGCAGAAGCAAGAAATAAGGACTTCCGAAATACCAGAGAGCGCCACACGAGAAAAACAGGAAGATTTCAAAATAATGAAAATATTATACACAATTTTTTTATATCTTCGGATCCATATATATCTCATCTGAAATCTAAATACGCCAATTTTAAATCATCAAGGTTGTTTCCAAAAGCGTTGCAGTTATTAATAACAGAAGAAATAATGGAAGTTGAAGATGAGGAACTAGAAGCTCCACAAAATGTGCCAGATCCTTTGGAATGATTTTTAAGTTTTTTTATATTAATTTATTACTTTGTATTATTTTGTATGTTTAGTTCACTTGTACCATTTTATATGTTTTTATTATTCTTGTTTAAGTGTACTAATTTATAATTTTTGAAATTAAAAGTATAAACCACTTTCAATTATAACATTCTATTGTAATAATTATGCAATAAACAATTTTCAATAATTATTTTATTTTGTAATTTGATGTCTGTGTTGATATAGACAATTATATATTAGTATTGTACTTTCCCAAAACCACTTAACAGACTAAAAAAGTATTGATTCCGTGTATTTTTTTATATATAATATATTTTAAGTTAAACTGCTCATAAACGCCAAAGCTGCAAGTGCATGCAAAAGATTTGTTGGTGAAATTAATAAATAAATGTAATACAATCATTTACAAATGGTTTCATTGCTAACACTTTTAAACATTTCGAGAAAAAAAAGTATTTCAGTTTTGCTCCATACATTTTTTTCTCAAATATTTTTTTTTCGCGAAAATATACGATTACATGAAAATTGCTAGAACAAAAGTTGATGAGCGTTCACTTATCTGTCCGCATGAATTTTTTCAGCGCGAAATATTAACCTTGGGTCCTATGACCACTATATTCAAAATCCGGACCACTGTGTGGCGGTACGAAGTTCGCTGGGACAGCTAGTAAATAAATAAAAATCAGTGCATCTAATCACTTGAAACTTGTTTTATTTAATGAGCGATGTGCGTGAAGACCTAAGAAACAAGTAACGTCGAACGCTATTGTGAATGAAGTAGATATTATAGCTATTAACGGGATTGTTACCAAAACAAGGTATGTTTTCTATAAGTCTCCGATATTTCGGCACTGTTGCAAGCGCCATGATCACGGAGTAACTGAAGTAATTGCGGGTAGATGTTATTGGCAGTGAATAGTGAGAAAAAGCGAGCGCAGTATAAGACGACGTCAGAGGGTAGACCGATATGTCTGCAAATAACATCTACCCGCAATTACTTCAGTTACTCCGTGATCATGGCGCTTGCAACAGTGCCGAAATATCGGAGACTCATAAAAAACAAGGTATGTATATGGTAACAATCCCGTTAATAGCTATAATGTTAGTGACCATGAAAGTTTAAAACAATAAATGAAGTAGATAGTTATAAATGTATACATGATATGAGAAGCTCGATAGCGCCAGTGGTTAGCGCGTTCGGCTGCGGTCGTTGAAGTTGAGCAACTTTCGCAGTGGTCGGTCATTGGATGGGTGACCAAAAATTTTATATCTCGAGCTCCTCCGTGCTTCGGAAGGCACGTTAAGCCGTTGGTCCCGGCTGCATCTGCAGTCGTTAGCACCCACCGCGGGTTGGTGGGCTGGGCTCGCATGGTGGGTCATGGGCCAATCTCCCTAATCCTGTGCCCCAGTAGTGGGGACATTAATAGGCTGATGATGATGATGATGTATACATGATATGTGTGACATCCAGGTTGGTGCGAGGAAGCTCAGCAGTGGGCCGAGGTGAGTGTGGCGCGCGGCTCTCAGCCTAACTCGCTCTGCATGCCCGCACTCTTCTGCTTCAAGGTTAGCGCCTGTTATGCACCACACTACACTACACACTAAACTACACTACAATACATACCCCCCACTACTATGTACGCTTAGCACGAACCAATATAGAAATCGAAGAGTTGAATTCGATCTCGATACGTTTCAAACTTTGTCCTTTATGAGAGGCGTGAAGAAGCATTTTTGCAGGCCGGCAGGGTGAGGATGGTCGCTGTAGCAGTTTATAACTCCTGTACCAGCTATCTTCGCATTTGGACTTTATCACCACTTAACATCAGGTGGGGTAGAGTCACTTGCCTACCTCGCTATAAAAAAAAACTTTTTTACGGAAATTTGACAAACGCCACAATGGACGTAACGAGAATTAAAAAACGCAAAACTTCTTGACATTTGACGCATAGCTTGATCGATTTCAACTATTCGAGTTCGATATTGGTTCGTGCTTAGAGTACAGAACACTAGTCACTACACTACACTACACATACTGAACACTGTTGCCAGCGTTTTGAACGTATTCCTAACTCTATTTTTTTTATTCAAATTAAATTTCAAATCTACGGCGGAACAATTTAACGTAACTTGCTCCTACTCATTAGTTATTTATCGAGGAATAAACTTGGAAAGGCTAAGCAGTATTTTAATGACATTCAAAATTCAATAAACAATCAAAAAATCAAAAAAAAATACAAAATTTCCTCCTGTTTATTATTAGGTGCCTCACGTTTGGAATCTACTCGAATTAATAAATATTTCAATCCAAAAAACAACTTTAGAGAACAAGGAAAAATTTATTGAAATATCTGGAATAAGCCAAATATCTAGAGGTCTATTTCCACAGTTCCTGATGCAGTTTCAGATAATCTTCTATTAGAGTTAATAAGCTGTTGGCACTTAACACTGCACAAGACAATAAGACACTACACGCTAGCTATCTAATTGTGTGACGTCGACGTGTTGTCGTCATCGTATTTTTTTGCTTTATGTATTTTTGTCAAACAATTTTTAAAAAGAGAAACATAAATAACTCTATTTCATTTTTATCGTTTTCTAAAACAGGAAAGAGCACCAATTTAAGTGAGACACCAATTTTTATTATGCAAAAAAGCTTAGAATTAAAAACCGGAAAGCTAATTAATTAACAATGAACACTGCCGTAGTGATGATATTGATCCACAAATATTTATCTTATCCCGCCACTTCACTTGGCTATTCGCATTTGCTGTTCGTAAACATAAGAACAGTCTGTCTTTATCATGCTTTATAGGGAATGAAAAGGACAGACTGATATCAAGTTTATGAATAGCAAACACGAATGGCCAAGTGATGTGCCAACATCACGAGACTAATAAGATCAGCTTTTTAGATGTTTTTTTACTTTTTGAAAAATCTCAATTTTAGCAAAAATCATCTCTAAAGGTTGAACTTATTAGAAAAATCTATGAACTGTTTTCGGGGAACGATTTAACAGTAATAGGTGACGGTTTTCTTAAAATAAACGCACTAAAACTAAACGGATATTTGGTGGAAATAATAGGTTAGCGAAATGTATATAATTTTGTTTATACGAGCTACATGTGTATGAATTGTATATAGTATGTCTCGGATCACCATAGCGAGAGGTAATTCTTAAAATATATTTATTTTGCACTTTGTTTGTAGATATTTGCATTTATGGTTTTTTAATATGAGCTCACAAAAAGAATTTGAACCTTAAAGCGTTTGAAAATAAAGTTGCAAATCCCAGTCGTGGTGTCTTTTTAAGCGACAGGTTCGCATTCTGTCGATATCTGCCTCACCGAGTGACAAAGTTGGTAATATATTTGATATTTGGAATGGACTTGCACCAAATTAACTTAAATGTTTGCCAAACATTACGTGATATGTACATTATTTTACCAAAGATAGATAGATAAGTCGTTTATTTCTATGAACGGCACACATTTAATGTGCCACAACGATACAAAATGGCTACAGCACAGTGCCCAAAAAGCTTTGCTGGACTCCGTAAATTCGCGTTTGGACTCTATCGCCACTTAACATCAGATGGGGTAGAGTTATTTGCCTACCTGGCTATAAAATAAAATCAAGAACTTTTGTAATTCAGCTTTTGATTGAATGAATTTCTCGCGTTTTTTCTATAGTACAAATAAAACCGAGTTCTGTAGTAGCAACAAACTATTTCATATTCTTTTTACTCATCTTGACTTGTAGCGTTTTATAGATCTGTAGAACCATCAGGCACATCATCCATCTTGTGATAGTCGCTCATTGGTCAGAGCTGCCATAAGTTGTAATGTTGGACAAAATTATATGAAATGCTTAAATTGTTTACACTTGCAATCACCGTAACTTGCGAAATGATATATAGCCTCCTGGTTTAATGTTAATAAATAAGTATAACCCACACAAACTTGTGACAGCCCTGTACATAAAGTTATGTTGTTTGCTATGTTCCGTAGGCTATTGTATTTACTGTTGGTTGTAATTAGGTACTGGATACACGGCCGGCTAAAAAAGTTGTATTTTCACAAAACCAAATTTTTGGCCAGCCGTGACTTTATTATAACTATTCTTATTTATGTTTGTGGTCTTTGCAAAGCTGGTTCGTACTACTTCCATTAATTTATATTGAATCAATATTTTTGATACTTATATTTGTCTCATAATTCAAGATTTCTTTAGCAATCACAACAAGAATCGTAAATTGTTATTTAAAATAAATTTCTAAACTGCCATCTTCAACTTACGTTTTTATAGTGTTTCCAGTATTTTAGCCTTCAATGAGTCTGCATTAATAAATAATAACGTGTCAATGAGTAGTACGATCTGGCGACACCAGTCGCGGTGTGACCGGCTCGATCTCGTATTTCAGCGGTCGCGCTCCGAGGTGCTCATGTCGCAGTCCCCGCCCGGCGCCTTCTACGGCCGCCAGGACACAGACCCCGTCGACTACAGATCCAGGACCTTACCCAAAGAAACTAGAGAAACGGACTCCCCCACACTAAGCGTCAAGTCACTCAATATCAAACCTTCCAGCCCCTGCCTCAAAGTCAAGTTTGGCTCGTCGCCTTCGAATATGTGCAAGATGGATAGTGCAAAGGATGGTTTCGTGTCTGGGCAGATACAGTATTTGGTTGCGGTGCATAGGTAAGATACTCTGTTTTTTTTTATTGTCACTTATGATAGTCTGACAGCAAACTAAAAAGTAATCGAAAAAGCTATTTATGTATATCGAATACCCTCCGTGTCTTTGCGTCACCGCAGTAGCAAGTTAGAAAATAAATACGTATAATGCGATTCAACTAAGAATAGGACCGGCTGGGCGCCATATTTTGACGTCAAAGCTGTCAATTCAAACCAAATAGGTAGAGTGAGCAAAAAAAATTGCTATTTAATAAAACTTTAACTAAGATTAAATGAGACAAAACATCAGATTTTTTAATAAAATTAATTTACTAAGGTTGAGAAAGAACACAACCGATTTTTAATAGTATTTCTTTATTAAGACTGTGAAAAAAACCCTAATCAGAATTTAGCTCTTCAATTTCGCTCATCTCTGCATTACCGCCGGAGAAGTTATGAATAATCATGCAGGTCACATACGAACATGCATCATATATTATATAAACGAAAGTTTTAAATCGAGTTTCTGAACGCAACATAAAGTGACATTTGGTTGACGATTTAGGTTATCAACCATTCATAGCCAATACTCAATAAGTGAAAAAAAACAAATAATATTAATTATCAACATTTGTTATTGTTTGTTCAAAAAATGTTTGGTTTTTATTCTAGAATCAGCTGAGTGCTAAAAAAGTGTTTCGAGCTTGTTTTGCAAACCGTACTTTTCAAGCGACATTTGACAGATGGAGGTCATTGGCATTCCTATTCTTATTTGAACCGCATTATACTTGTTATGCTCGCGAGCGAATGTTTCACTTGTACAGGTATTTCGTCCGACTAACTAATTGATTTTCTTCTTAAACTTCTATAATATTATCTCCCTGGGGTCGATCGGAGCGGACGATGTGCTTCCACCGGTTTCTGTCCAGCGCCTCTCTTACCAAAGCACAAAATTTGGATGAGAACGAATCTTTAATCTAATTTATCTGGTCGGTCCATCTTGGAGAACGACCGCGCGATCTTTTGCCTTCGGTGTTTCCAACCATAATAAGCTTTTCCAGATTTGCATTGAATCTGCGCACTGTATGGCCGAAGTACGAAAGAATACGTTGCCGGCATAAGGTGGACAGGAGAGTTTTTATGCGAAGCTGGGTCAGGATCGATGCATTGGTGCGTTTTGTAGTCCAAGGTATTCTCAGCATTCGTCTCCAACACGAATGCATCAATCATGTGCTTTCTCAGGCTAAGATAGACCATGTTTCGACCCAATACAGAAAGATAGGGAAAACTAGAGCTGGTATCAGTCTAATTTTGGTTTTGACACCAATTCCTCTCTTCTCCTAAATGTTGTTTAATCTGGACATAGCATCATGGCCAACCCGATTCTCCTTTTTAGCTCGGGGACACGGCTGCCGTCATCGTTTTTAATCCCAGAAATGTTGCAGATCCCTTTGGTTAGCTTTCCGGTTCGGTCAACTATCATCATGTTAGTCTTTGCTCTGTTTTGTGCTGGACCGATGTTGCCAGAAGGATGGTGTCGTCAGCATACCAAAGATTCGATAATCTTTTCCACCTATAGGGAAACTCAACCCATAGTATTATAGTTAGTTGTTAAGAAAATTCCGTGTCAAAAAGTAAATACATTACAAACTTGATACTAGTAAATTAATTAAATAAGATGTTGCTACACCTAAATTCTTCTTCACAATACTGAGGAATGTATTTGAATTATAATTCTAAGGTCCGTATTACAGAATGACAACTAAGTGTTGATCTTTACTTGAGTACAGTTAGAAAGGGATATCACTATGTGCTATATATAGCGACAAGCCTTTCTAACTATGCTCAAGACTAGATCAATCACTGAGAATCTTTCTATAATACGGGCCTAAAACTTTAACTACTACCAGGAAAAAAAATGCTGCACCTACATTCTTCTTCACAATGCTGTCAATTTGAGGAATGTATTTTATTTATAATTCTAAAACTTTAACCGCTACCAGGAAAAAAGACTTGCTTAGAATTCTATCTTTTAGCAATTCCGGTTCTATGCGAGAGTGTTAGTTCCGGGTTTGGATTATTCGTATGTGGCAGGTATTCATATCATACTAGCTGACCCAGCGAACTTCGTACCGCCATAAAAAAATAGGGGTTGGTGGTGGAAAGTTGAAAATTAAGGGATGTGTGTATTTTTGTGTGATGTATCATAAAAAAAATTTAAAAAAAATTAGGGGTGGATTACCCTTAACATTTAGGGGGATGAAAAATAAATTACATCCGATTCTCAGACCTACCGAATATGCATATAAAATTGCACGAAAATCGGTCGAGCCGTTTCGTAGGAGTTTAACCACAAACACCGCGACACGAGAATTTTATATATTAGATATCTGTGGACAGGAAGCAGTGTCGTCAGGACGCGTACTTCCTGTCGTCGCAGCGCTGCAAGCCGGCGCTGTTCGGCGTGCCCCTGCTCGTGGGGCTGCGCGCCGGCATGAGCGGCCGAGACCTCTACGCCGCCGTCTGGACGCAGGTAAGGAAACAAACATAGCCGGCTTATAATTACCAAATTTCTGCAATCCTAAGGCCCGATTATTTTGACCTTTTGTACCGATTAAAAACAAATCGGACCTGGCAACACTAGTCATGGCCCAACTCCCTATTCCATCCATAGGGAGGACCTGTGCCCCACATTAATAGACTGATGATGAATTTAAATCCTATTAAAGTTTTGCCTAGAACCTATAGCTTAAGATGTTTTATAAGATATTTAAATTACATTGAAAGTCGTCAGGAATTGTGGTTCCGAAATATTTTTCCTTTTTTAGAACTTTTAGTGCCGTATGTTAGATAATGATGTTATTAATTAATATTTACGTTAAAAGTAACAGAACGATACTTGTGTTTTGAACAGGTCGCTAGGCTACTAAGCCCGAGGCCTCCGGCCCATGATCAGTCCAATCATGCAACAGATTGGTAAGTGAATTATTATGTTCTTTATATATTGGTTCTTATCAATAAGTTAATAAAAATATTTTTTAAATTAAATATTGTCGATATCTTTTTATTATTATTTAATGATGGCATCAAATTTGACTTTCATAAGCGTGTAAATGGTAGCTAAATGAATAAAGAAATTTTGACTTTGAGTAATGGCAGTTCTTCAATTTTCGGTAAAAAATTTAATTCTACAATGGCATTTAAAAACAATTAAAGAATTTATTACAACATTATAGTATAATGATTGGTAATGATAAAGACTAGTAGCTGGGGAATTTTGTTATTGTGTTTACTTCAATGGTTCTTAGAAAGAGTTGAGCAGCTAAAACAGATTGGTTTTTGTTGTCACGCAGCGACGACAGCCTTGGTTACGAGTTCCCGTTCACGTTGCGTTTAGTTAACGGCAGCGGCGCGTGGTGCGGCGCCTGCGCCTGGCCCGCGCTCTGTAGGGGGTGCGCCCTGCCCAGCGACGCGCGCCCGCTGCTGATGTGCTGCGGTACTGTACCACACTATATGACACTACACCACACCACACTACACTACTGCCGCGCCTGGCCCGCGCTCTGTAGGGGGTGCGCCCTGCCCAGCGACGCGCGCCCGCTGCTGATGTGCTGCGGTACTGTACCACACTATATGACACTACACCACACCACACTACACTACTGCCGCGCCTACACCGCGCTCTGTAGGGGGTGCGCCCTGCCCAGCGACGCGCGCCCGCTGCTGATGTGCTGCGGTACTGTACCACACTATATGACACTACACCACACCACACTACACTACTGCCGCGCCTACACCGCGCTCTGTAGGGGGTGCGCCCTGCCCAGCGACGCGCGCCCGCTGCTGATGTGCTGCGGTACTGTACCACACTATATGACACTACACCACACCACACTACACTACTGCCGCGCCTACACCGCGCTCTGTAGGGGGTGCGCCCTGCCCAGCGACGCGCGCCCGCTGCTGATGTGCTGCGGTACTGTACCACACTATATGACACTACACCACACCACACTACACTACTGCCGCGCCTACACCGCGCTCTGTAGGGGGTGCGCCCTGCCCAGCGACGCGCGCCCGCTGCTGATGTGCTGCGGTACTGTACCACACTATATGACACTACACCACACCACACTACACTACTGCCGCGCCTACACCGCGCTCTGTAGGGGGTGCGCCCTGCCCAGCGACGCGCGCCCGCTGCTGATGTGCTGCGGTACTGTACCACACTATATGACACTACACCACACCACACTACACTACTGCCGCGCCTACACCGCGCTCTGTAGGGGGTGCGCCCTGCCCAGCGACGCGCGCCCGCTGCTGATGTGCTGCGGTACTGTACCACACTATATGACACTACACCACACCACACTACACTACTGCCGCGCCTACACCGCGCTCTGTAGGGGGTGCGCCCTGCCCAGCGACGCGCGCCCGCTGCTGATGTGCTGCGGTACTGTACCACACTATATGACACTACACCACACCACACTACACTACTGCCGCGCCTGGCCCGCGCTCTGTAGGGGGTGCGCCCTGCCCAGCGACGCGCGCCCGCTGCTGATGTGCTGCGGTACTGTACCACACTATATGACACTACACCACACCACACTACACTACTGCCGCGCCTGCCCGCGCTCTGTAGGGGGTGCGCCCTGCCCAGCGACGCGCGCCCGCTGCTGATGTGCTGCGGTACTGTACCACACTATATGACACTACACCACACCACACTACACTACTGCCGCGCCTACACCGCGCTCTGTAGGGGGTGCGCCCTGCCCAGCGACGCGCGCCCGCTGCTGATGTGCTGCGGTACTGTACCACACTATATGACACTACACCACACCACACTACACTACTGCCGCGCCTACACCGCGCTCTGTAGGGGGTGCGCCCTGCCCAGCGACGCGCGCCCGCTGCTGATGTGCTGCGGTACTGTACCACACTATATGACACTACACCACACCACACTACACTACTGCCGCGCCTACACCGCGCTCTGTAGGGGTGCGCCCTGCCCAGCGACGCGCGCCCGCTGCTGATGTGCTGCGGTACTGTACCACACTATATGACACTACACCACACCACACTACACTACTGCCGCGCCTGGCCCGCGCTCTGTAGGGGGTGCGCCCTGCCCAGCGACGCGCGCCCGCTGCTGATGTGCTGCGGTACTGTACCACACTATATGACACTACACCACACCACACTACACTACTGCCGCGCCTGCCCGCGCTCTGTAGGGGGTGCGCCCTGCCCAGCGACGCGCGCCCGCTGCTGATGTGCTGCGGTACTGTACCACACTATATGACACTACACCACACCACACTACACTACTGCCGCGCCTACACCGCGCTCTGTAGGGGGGTGCGCCCTGCCCAGCGACGCGCGCCCGCTGCTGATGTGCTGCGGTACTGTACCACACTATATGACACTACACCACACCACACTACACTACTGCCGCGCCTACACCGCGCTCTGTAGGGGGTGCGCCCTGCCCAGCGACGCGCGCCCGCTGCTGATGTGCTGCGGTACTGTACCACACTATATGACACTACACCACACCACACTACACTACTGCCGCGCCTGCCCGCGCTCTGTAGGGGGTGCGCCCTGCCCAGCGACGCGCGCCCGCTGCTGATGTGCTGCGGTACTGTACCACACTATATGACACTACACCACACCACACTACACTACTGCCGCGCCTACACCGCGCTCTGTAGGGGGTGCGCCCTGCCCAGCGACGCGCGCCCGCTGCTGATGTGCTGCGGTACTGTACCACACTATATGACACTACACCACACCACACTACACTACTGCCGCGCCTACACCGCGCTCTGTAGGGGGTGCGCCCTGCCCAGCGACGCGCGCCCGCTGCTGATGTGCTGCGGTACTGTACCACACTATATGACACTACACCACACCACACTACACTACTGCCGCGCCTGGCCCGCGCTCTGTAGGGGGTGCGCCCTGCCCAGCGACGCGCGCCCGCTGCTGATGTGCTGCGGTACTGTACCACACTATATGACACTACACCACACCACACTACACTACTGCCGCGCCTGGCACCGCGCTCTGTAGGGGGTGCGCCCTGCCCAGCGACGCGCGCCCGCTGCTGATGTGCTGCGGTACTGTACCACACTATATGACACTACACCACACCACACTACACTACTGCCGCGCCTACACCGCGCTCTGTAGGGGGTGCGCCCTGCCCAGCGACGCGCGCCCGCTGCTGATGTGCTGCGGTACTGTACCACACTATATGACACTACACCACACCACACTACACTACTGCCGCGCCTGGCACCGCGCTCTGTAGGGGGTGCGCCCTGCCCAGCGACGCGCGCCCGCTGCTGATGTGCTGCGGTACTGTACCACACTATATGACACTACACCACACCACACTACACTACTGCCGCGCCTGGCCCGCGCTCTGTAGGGGGTGCGCCCTGCCCAGCGACGCGCGCCCGCTGCTGATGTGCTGCGGTACTGTACCACACTATATGACACTACACCACACCACACTACACTACTGCCGCGCCTGCACCGCGCTCTGTAGGGGGTGCGCCCTGCCCAGCGACGCGCGCCCGCTGCTGATGTGCTGCGGTACTGTACCACACTATATGACACTACACCACACCACACTACACTACTGCCGCGCCTACACCGCGCTCTGTAGGGGGTGCGCCCTGCCCAGCGACGCGCGCCCGCTGCTGATGTGCTGCGGTACTGTACCACACTATATGACACTACACCACACCCACACTACACTACTGCCGCGCCTGCACCGCGCTCTGTAGGGGGTGCGCCCTGCCCAGCGACGCGCGCCCGCTGCTGATGTGCTGCGGTACTGTACCACACTATATGACACTACACCACACCACACTACACTACTGCCGCGCCTGCACCGCGCTCTGTAGGGGGTGCGCCCTGCCCAGCGACGCGCGCCCGCTGCTGATGTGCTGCGGTACTGTACCACACTATATGACACTACACCACACCACACTACACTACTGCCGCGCCTACACCGCGCTCTGTAGGGGGTGCGCCCTGCCCAGCGACGCGCGCCCGCTGCTGATGTGCTGCGGTACTGTACCACACTATATGACACTACACCACACCACACTACACTACTGCCGCGCCTACACCGCGCTCTGTAGGGGGTGCGCCCTGCCCAGCGACGCGCGCCCGCTGCTGATGTGCTGCGGTACTGTACCACACTATATGACACTACACCACACCACACTACACTACTGCCGCGCCTACACCGCGCTCTGTAGGGGGTGCGCCCTGCCCAGCGACGCGCGCCCGCTGCTGATGTGCTGCGGTACTGTACCACACTATATGACACTACACCACACCACACTACACTACTGCCGCGCCTACACCGCGCTCTGTAGGGGGTGCGCCCTGCCCAGCGACGCGCGCCCGCTGCTGATGTGCTGCGGTACTGTACCACACTATATGACACTACACCACACCACACTACACTACTGCCGCGCCTGGCCCGCGCTCTGTAGGGGGTGCGCCCTGCCCAGCGACGCGCGCCCGCTGCTGATGTGCTGCGGTACTGTACCACACTATATGACACTACACCACACCACACTACACTACTGCCGCGCCTGGCCCGCGCTCTGTAGGGGGTGCGCCCTGCCCAGCGACGCGCGCCCGCTGCTGATGTGCTGCGGTACTGTACCACACTATATGACACTACACCACACCACACTACACTACTGCCGCGCCTACACCGCGCTCTGTAGGGGGTGCGCCCTGCCCAGCGACGCGCGCCCGCTGCTGATGTGCTGCGGTACTGTACCACACTATATGACACTACACCACACCACACTACACTACTGCCGCGCCTACACCGCGCTCTGTAGGGGGTGCGCCCTGCCCAGCGACGCGCGCCCGCTGCTGATGTGCTGCGGTACTGTACCACACTATATGACACTACACCACACCACACTACACTACTGCCGCGCCTGCACCGCGCTCTGTAGGGGGTGCGCCCTGCCCAGCGACGCGCGCCCGCTGCTGATGTGCTGCGGTACTGTACCACACTATATGACACTACACCACACCACACTACACTACTGCCGCGCCTACACCGCGCTCTGTAGGGGGTGCGCCCTGCCCAGCGACGCGCGCCCGCTGCTGATGTGCTGCGGTACTGTACCACACTATATGACACTACACCACACCACACTACACTACTGCCGCGCCTGGCCCGCGCTCTGTAGGGGGTGCGCCCTGCCCAGCGACGCGCGCCCGCTGCTGATGTGCTGCGGTACTGTACCACACTATATGACACTACACCACACCACACTACACTACTGCCGCGCCTACACCGCGCTCTGTAGGGGGTGCGCCCTGCCCAGCGACGCGCGCCCGCTGCTGATGTGCTGCGGTACTGTACCACACTATATGACACTACACCACACCACACTACACTACTGCCGCGCCTACACCGCGCTCTGTAGGGGGTGC